CCTCATTGTACAAGATGGCTGCTGACACTACAAAAGGGGGTTCTTAAAAAAAAATCCTTATATATTTCGATTTCAATTCTTCTTATCTATTTCTTCTTTAAATAATTCTAAAGATATTTTTATCCATTTATTATCCTATGATGTAATACTGGCTTGAAATATTTGGGGGAATTCTTTCCAGATGGACTAGTCAAATCTGGCAGGCAAAACATATTCATTTGTTTACAAACAAACCTAATAATACCAACATAAAGATTATGTCTGACAAAGAAAATTATTTTTTATTTTAGTTTTAACTTAGACATTTCCCAAAACCTGCAATAGAAAAACAACTAATTTAAGCGTACTATGAGATTGGCAACTAGGTTTCATCATTTTACTGTTTAAATCACTACAAGTAGCCATAAAGAAGAGGGGTTGAAGGGTGGAGAATCATTCATCACCCACAAGGGCTCAGGAACACTTCTGAACAGTGTCAAGTCTGAAGCCTGCTCAAAAATGAAAACAGTATTCCATTTCTGGCTCGATCTGGTAGAGGTAGTGTATGGCAGGAGTCAGGTATTTACTTGAGCGATACAGACAGCTGACAATTTTACCTGTATCCTTAGCAATGGATCGTATGTATGAGTTCCACTTCAGGTTGGGTGTGAGTTTGAGGCCTAACAGTCTTTCAAGGCATGATGCTTCCCCAAGAGGGCCTCCATTCATCCTGATTGGTGGTATTTCAGGGTCAGATCAGCGATGATGGAATATAACAAGCTTGGTCTTTGAGGCATTGAATGTAACCAGGTAGTTTTTACCTCATTGGGTAGTTTGTACAAGATCAGAAGAGAGATCAGTCGCCAATCTCTGACAATCAAGAGTTTCAGATGTGCACCCATATATAGTATTATTATCAGTATAGATGTTTACAGAGGATCTGAGTATATTCTTAGGCAGATCATTTATGAAGATCAAAAATAGGGTTGGTCCAAGGAGTGACCCCTGCGTAATGACAACTGTTAGAATTTCTACTGAATCAAGAACTTTCTGAGTGGTAGTGTTTATTACTATTATCAATCTGAAATGGTCGCTGCAGAAAATAATAATTACTGTTATTGTTGTTCTTCTAAAACTTATTTTGGCAACTGAAGTTATTCTTTGTGTTACTTTTCTTGCAGTTCAAGCATAACCTTTTTTTTTTTTTTTTTTTATCATTTCACCCCAAGCAAGGTGATAATGCCATTAAGATGTGAAGGGTTACTGAGAGTGAAAAAGAATGAGAAAATTTTTAAATGAATAAAAGAACAGGTTTTAGGAAAACAGAAGATTGCAATTAGCATTGCATTTAAAATTTTGAAGATTGTAGCCAACAGGGAATAAGAAACTGGAAGAGAATTCAACAGGTGGGAAGTGTGAGAAAAGAAACAATTAGAATAGAACTTATGGTTACATCTAGTTATTTCAACAGTAAAATGATGGGACCTAACTGCCAATCTTGTAGTATGTTTAAATTCATGTTGTCAAGGTACCAACTTAGTGAACTCATCAGAACAGCTGCCATAAAAATATTTACAGAAAAGACAGAAGGAAGGACCAATGACATTACAAACCATTCTTTGAACTTGTCAAGAATATGAAGATATATACCAGGATCACCAGACCCTATATGGCAGCAATATTCAATGCATGGGTGAATGATAGATTTATAAATGTGCAAGATGGATTCTGGTGAGAAAAATTATCTGGCATGACATCTGCTGATAAACACATGCTCTTTTTTTTTTTTAAATTAAATGTTCATCCGATACAAGTCTCAAGAGCCACTCAAAGTAGAGGGTTAGTGAATGAGTTTGTTTCACAAGGCATAAGAGGAGGAAACAAATACAGATTATACAGATATGCAGGATAGAATCTTTTAGCAGTTAAGATTGTAATAATCAGGAAAGCACCCTCTTGGGAGTCTGTGCCATAAAGTAACAGTTCTCAAGAAGAAGCTGAGTGAAACATCCTTCTTACCAATGAAATATAAAAGAAACGAGGATGATTCAACCCTGTGTATGTGGCATTAGGGGTCCTAGTTGTGAAGGTCTGAACTGGTAGAACTAAGGAATGTAGCTTGCATGAATATTTGCAATGAAGTAGCTAGAGGCTTTCAACGTTTTCTCTCTGGGAAAGGAGATGTAGGCTTAAAAAATAATTCAGCACATACAAGGCAGCTTCAACATTTTTGAACTGTGAAACTACAAATTCACTCTTATGAAATTGAACATTGTGCCTTTCACATTTGAATTCAAAACAACCCTCTTGACAGTAATTTCATGAAAACTTTGACTTTTTTTTTAATTTAACAATCCTCATGTTTGATATCTTGGGCAACATTCCTGATGGTAGGTTAAGAGAACAAACAAACCAATACACTGAATTGCTTACTAAAAGATAAGTTTGTTTCTCTCCTCTCCTTACCAAGAAAAGAAAATCTTTTTAATGAAATCAATGTTATAGTCGAAAGAGATAATGAGAAAGTGAGGAAAAACACTAGAACCATCTTGGCTTAGTTTTATAATGAAGGACAAGTTATTCTCTGTTGGGAGAAATTCAGTTCAGCACCAAGGAAACTTGCCTAAGTGCTTGTTAAAAGTTGATACTATAGAAGTTATTAAGAAAAATTCAATTAGAAAGCATAAAATTAATACTTTTTTTTCACCAATTTTAAATATCCATAGTAAAATATACTTGATTCATGTTTAAAATGATTCATGCAAAGATCATATTTTATTAAGCAGGTTTTTTTAAAATATAATTGTTTTCAAACATTTGATCATAGAGATGAAAGCACAAACCTCAACAGTGTAAGTCTCAATTTTTATACACTGGGTTATTCCCCAATTTTTCAAGTGTAAAATTTATGCCCTAAGATGTGTTTCCATAATTGGCATTGATATCATGGTAAACTTTCAATGGATGAAATGATTAAAAAAAAATGTTTTTAAGTAAAAATCAATGTATCAACAAAATGCCAGACTAAAAACATATCAAAGTTACATTTCAAATTGTAAACTAACTTTACATGATATTTTATATTTAGTGGCCAAATTTTCACTTTTGAATACAGAAAACTGTCTATTAAATTTTATAACAAATATTTATGTTTGATGTCATGTTGTCTATCAATATATGTATCATGAGACAGAAATGTTTTTAAATTGTATAATCATATTTTAACATTTCAATAAAGAGCACTTCAAGAATTCTGTTTTTTATCCACACATAAGGAACAGCGTGCAAGTTAAAACAAAAAAAACATTCATGATTCATCAGAAAGCAGAAGCTACATTTGTACAAATAAAATTTGTGCATATTTGTATTAAATAAATATTTTTTATTATATAAAAACAAAATGTATTCTTTTTTAAATCAAAATTCTTTTACAAATATGCCATTTTTCTACTTAACTAGAAATACATACTGCATTGTTTATAAAATTATTTTTGTTATTTGCTTAATATAAGTTCATAGAATAAGGCCTACATGACTGCACCTAATAATAGTGTAAAACTAATTTACACACCCATGTGTGTGTGTGTGTGTGTGTGTGTGTGTGTGTGTGTGTGATATTATATACACACTTTGTTCATATACACATGCATCCATATACATTTTTGTGCAGTCGCTTCACTCTGATCCAAGACAGAAGTACCAATCCTTATATAAATAACTGTCATTTTTTGCAGGCATATATATATATATATATATATATATATATATATATATATATATATATATATATAAAAATATAGTTTTAAAAATATAGTTTTAAGGTATGCTATATTTATGGGTTAAATTGCTCATTACCAAGTATAGAGTGCATGCAACTATAAAAGTGGACATCGAAGACAACACCAAACAGCGACAGTGTGTTTCATGCTTGAACACAATAATCAGGCCTGATGACTGCATTTAAGTATGACTGTTACCGCAGGGTGTTGATCTCATTGTCCAATTGTGTGTGTGTGTGTGTGTGTGTGTGTGTGTAGAGAGAGAAAAAGAGAGGGAGTGTGTGTGTGTAAAAAATCCCATCAATCTTTCTTTGAAAACTAGATGCTTCATACAATTAATATTTTTGATATAAACTTTTGCACACATCTCTCTCTCACACACACATATATATATATATATATATATATATATATATATATATATAGATAGATAGATAGAGAAAAAAAATCAACAAATATTAAAAGGATGTCATCTTAAAATTCCAGAAATGTTCTTGTAATTTTATAATTTTAATATTTGGTGGAACCAGGTTAATCCTTGTTTGATTTGTTTTGTAAAGAAATATTCTATCTTAGGAAAATTAATTTTGTGTATAACAGAATGGTGCAACTACTTGATTTCTGTTATTTTTAAACTAAATTTAATTTCAACATTTGATGGAAATGGTTTCCTGAGAAATTTAACAAAACTGAACAAAATATTACATTATTATCAATTTCATATAAATATATTTTATTTACAAGAAACAAATTATATAAATTTAACTTATTAAAAAATTTACTTGAAAAATGCATATTTATAAAGAACAAAACTTTTAATTTAAAAAAGTAATGGATTTTTATTTCTTTACTTTTTCATCAAGTAATTATTTAATGTTCAAATATTAAATTCATATTTTCTAAACATTTTTAATGTGAAAGCCAGTCAATAAATTTTTTTTTTACATGTACCAACTGAAGCAGCTGTAAAATTTACATTTATCATTTTTATGAGATGAAAGTAAATACTCATCAAAAATTAATAATCATGATTATCAACTAAAATGTTATGAAAAAAAAAAAACTTTTTTCAGATAACTTTAATCATCAATATCAAAAAAACAATGTGATGCTTGTTATAAAGTCATCAAATTAATGATTTGAAATTTATTCTTTGTTGAAGGGGGAAAAAACACTTCAAGTTAATATTAAAAGTATTGCCATCTGAACACTTAAAACTTTAAAAAAACTGTCAGTACATGGTCAAAGATAATGAACAGGAGAGAAACTGAGAAAATTTTGGAAAAAAGGGAATATAAAGACAGAAACTTATAGAATGTTGCCAAAGTTTCTGTATGAAATTCTGTATTCCATATATATCAATGTTGGTAAACATGAAGGTAAACACCTCAAAGAAATGTAGAAAAATTATATTTATGTGTACACGTGAAAAGTTATATGCATATAGATGTATATGATTGAACACATGTGGGTGTATATAGATTTATAAGTTAATGTGTATAGTTCTAAATGGAAATGAAAACATATGAGGGTCATATGTATAAATGTACACAGATATGTTTGTTGGTGTGACTATTCATTTTTTTTAATTCATATGATGTATCTTTACAAAAATGGATAGACAGACTGGATTAGAGCCAAAAATGTTTTTTGGGGAGATACCAAAAATAATGATGATGATAAAACAAAAAGATGTAATCTTGTACTTACCTTTCACAAGTCCTTCAGCATCACGACTGAAAACAAATTCTACTTTTCCGTTCTCAGGAAATCGTGGATCTAAAAAGTAAAAATAAAATATATATATATATACATATATATATATATCTCCAAAAGTTGCAGTCGTTGAAAGAGGGTAATTCTAAATAGTCACTCAAGTTGGGTTTGGTGTCTTAGTAACTTAACAGTCTTGTTGCAAAAGTCACAAAATTAAAAAAACTGGTTAGTACAGAAGACCAACAAGAAAATGAAAAACTTTGAAAACAGTGTGACGAGATAATATTTGTATTTGAAGTAAGCTTACTTGCTTAACGCCTCTTCATTTGAGGCTCCACAGATTTTGTGGCACCAGAGAGAAGATGGTACCGGTGGGTATGGTGGTGGCAGCAGAATCAGGGTTGGGTGGTGAACTAGTTTCAATCCAAATGATTGTGGCTACTGCTGCTATTTTGTAGGGAAGCATTTGTGGGTGGTGAATGTGCTTTAGAAGCTGGTAATACCTTATCACTATAGAGATAGGTCAAACTTCAGTAGAGATGGAAAAGCGGGTGTTAGGTGGGGAGGGTAGATGTAGCAGTGGGGTGGGGGGTGGTGGTTCTGGAGAGATGTGGTTATAATGGTGAGGGTGGCTGCAAGGTATAACAGCTGCATACAGAAATCTGAGCTATTCACAGGAAACCTGTTTGTATCTGCAAAGATTAAGGGAACTGGTTCATGATGATTTGGAGTGGGGTGTTTTGGGTGGAATGATCCTGATACTACATTTATATTACCTGGGACTGATTAAGGATCTTTAGTAAAAAGGTAAAAAGTTGATAGGAGCTACAGAAAGAAAAAAAAATTGAGTTCTAAGAGAAAATTGAAAGAATCTATATGACGGATGGTGCAATTTTTTAAAGGTAGGTTAGAGAGAAGATAATTATTTCTTGAAAAGAAAAGAGGTTATAAAAAAATATAAGGAGCAAGAAGACGAGAATGAAGAAAAACTAATAAAGTACTTAATATAAGAGAGGTAAGCTAAATAAAATAGGTGTGGCAGTATGTGATAGGGATAATAAGAATAATAACAAGGAGAGAGGGACAGATAAATGAAAAAATATATCGATGAAGGAAATTGAAAAGGGTTCATTGTAGAGAGAGAGAAAGAGAGAGAGAGAGACCAGTAAAGATTAAAAAACTGTAAAAACAATGATCCAGTTCTGAATTCTGGCTAAGTTCAATATGTTCACTTTTGCATAAATACTCTGGGGAAAGATATGAATGCATCTCTTCTACCCCTAGCTATGGGTTAAATAAGGCAAACTGGGCTTTCTAGCCTGCGGGTGTGTGGGGGGAGTGGCAAACTAGTCTAGGAGAAAGAAAACTGAATTCAAAACCAGCCTGAAAAAGGACAGCTTCCATCAGGCAAACTTGCCCTTCACACACCACTGCTGCTATGGTTGCAGTAAATGTCATTCCTTTATGATCCCAATGGTTTATGGGAAACACACATGCAAGCAATATCACTTCAAGCTGTAGTTGTAATTTCATTCATTAATCAAATCTTCACTTCCATAGAAAGGAAAACCTGTAGAGCAGCGTTTCTCAACAGGGTTTCCCCGGAACCCTAACATTCTGGAAAACAACTCCAAGGGTTCCACAAGAACAGGTGAGATAATGCACTTTTGATTTTTTATTTAATTTAATATACGTAATATTACAAAACACACACAATATATTCATTGTTATTGTAATATTGTAATACAGACATCATCTTATCTAACCTATTATATTATTAAAAATATAACAATTTTTTTTGTGTGAATGAAAACTCCCTGATGAAGCATTTTAAACAAATAGTATGAATTTTATTTAACATTACAGAAAAATTTGACAAATGATATTTACCAGATGAACTATGATGAAAATAACATGAGAAAGATATGGTATATAATTTTGTTTTTGCACAGGGGATTCCTCAAGACATGTAATTTATTTTAACGGTTACGCAAGGGTAAAAAGGTTGAGAAACACTGCTGTAGAGTGAAAAAAACAAAACTAATCAAGATAGGTGATTTTTTTTTTTTACTTAAGCAATAATGTTTTGTGAAGTAAGAAAAAATAAAATGCTGACTTGTACCTACAATGAAGTAGTTATATGTATTTTCAAAATACCAGGACATAATATGAAAAAGTTTCAATTAGTCTCAACACAATGTTTTGGACCTTGACTAGATTAGAGGAATTAATGTATGAGAATTTCACATCTTAAACTGATTTTTCTAAAAATAATTTCCCATATATATGTGACTATATATTGAAAAACACATGCAAATCAAAATATTTGTTTTTGATGTTAATCATAATTGTTCATCAGTCAGTTATGTACCATGCGTAATACACACTTAGGCGATCATGTATTTTTCAATACATGACTGACAAGACAGATTTTTTCCCACAGTAGGTTGCCATTTATTTCTGCAGTAGACCAGTTGCCATCCAAGGCTACAGAACCCGGTCTGTACTACTATTTACCCAAAGCTAACAAGGAGAAGAAGAGGATTCATACCTTTCCCAAGGGTATTAGCACATAAGTGAATGTAATGGATTTGAATGGAATTTGAACTCAGCTCTCTGATTCCTCAATCCAAACCACTATCCATTACTCCACCATGCCTCCTCTAGGTGTTCATACATATCTTTATACAGAAAAAAAATATCATTCATAGTTACTATTGACAGACACTTAAAAACAAAAAGAAACTATTAACTTCAGGTATCTGATCCAAAACATGATTTATACGAGACTAGAAGTGTTGTATAAGCATTCCATGCACAAGTCTTTATTAAATATAAGTAATAGTAATTGAGAGGGGTAAAAATCTAAAGTAAGGCATTTTTTTTCAGTTTTAAATGGTAAACACCTACACATTTTCTGCAAATTCTCAAATGGAAACTGAGAAAAAAATAAAAGTCTAGTTTTTGTAGTTACTCATCTTGAAAATTAAAAAGTTACTAGACTGATTTTTTTTAAAAATTTCAAATAACATTTTACCTATTAGGCTATTAAAGAAGTTTAGTAAAAAAAAAAAAAAAAATTTAAAATAAAATTAAAAATAAGATCAGTAAATCAAACTAAAAGCATATGCTTCCTAACATCAAATTTAATGACACATCTGTGCAAGCAGAGGTAGGTTATATATATATATATATATATATATATATATATATATATCTCCATCGAAGTGTATTTTGATTGGTCATTCCAGCTTATGTAACAGTGTTTCCCCCTAGTGTGGTGTGGGGGTTTGATTTGAACCTTTTAAAACCCTTTATTCTACATTCAACACCATCAGTTGATAAAAACCAGTGTTGAAAGAAAATGGCTATTTCTGTCGTGATTTTATAACATATTTATGTTATAATTTATATATATATATATATATATATATATATATATATATATATATATGTGTATGTATATATATATATATATATATTAAAATAATAGGAAAGAACAGTGATATTTATAATCCAGAGTTCTTAGCATTTATTTTTAAAAAAGTGCGATACAACAGTAGAGCATATTATATATATATATATATATATATATATATATATAAAAAACACCTAATTAGCTCTACCCTGTTTTTCAAAATTGCATGTTTACTTCTTAATTATAGGTGTGCATATGTGTGTTTAATTTTTTATTACTTTCCTGAGGACCCAATCGTCATAAAAAAAAAAAAAAAAAAAAAAATCACCAAATCTGGTATTAGTCTACACAAAACATGTGGCATGTTTTTTGCAGAAGAGAAAATAGAAAAGATAAAAACAAGGCTAGAATGATTCATCCAGAAGATGGTTGTGGGGGAAGACAGGTGGCAGAGCGGAGAAAAGTAATAGAAGGGCCTGCCAAGTTAACTACATTCAGATAGTGGGTGGGTGCATACACAAACAAGCATTTATACTGTGCTGAGTCAAGAATATACTTTTAATACACGTAAACCATTTGGACCAAATCATTCTCAATGTTAACAAAAAATGAAAATGGCACATCACTCTAAACTCAAAGACAAATTTTAAATGAAGCATAAAAAGCAACTGAGAGTAGCAGAAATTTAAACCATTGCAGTTGAGCCATAGAACTGCGATGATGGAAATTCCTATTATATGCAGTTAATAATCCTAATTCTGAAAACTGGGTTTGCTTCAATAAGCCTAATTCTGAAAACTGGGTTTGCTTTTAGAAATTCTGAGGGTTTTGCTTGAACAGGTTTTGCAATTTTCTGAAAACTAGGTTTTGCTTCAAAATTTTTGTCTTGTAACTGATTTAAATGAATAAGTAATTCTGAAAAATTCATAAGCCTAATTCTGATATATATACACACCTATATAATAAGCAATTCTGAAAACTGAACAGGTATTCCAGAGGATTTTTGAGACTGTTTTTATACACACATATATACATGAGGAGAGGAGAGGCAGTTATAACTGTCCTAGGTCATTGTAATTTTAGTATATCATTAGTATACATCTAATAAGCTGACCTGCTAATTTTTGTGATTAAAGATTGAAAGAGAATAGCTCTTTGAACACACCCTGCTAAACACTGTTTGTCACAGCTGACTAATTTACAGAATGCAGTCTGGTTGTGAAGACAATTTGGAAACTCTATGCAATAAAGTTTTGTATTGACAGAGATGGGCATCAAAACTGTCCTTCATTCTCCTTGCTCCCTGTGACTTCTGGTTGATCCCCAAACTGAAGGACAAACTCAGAGGTAGTTGCTTTGAAGACATTCAGAAGATGAAGAAGGCTGTGACAAGGATCCAGTTCACCATCACTTAGGATGACATCCATCACGAAGTGGCTGGTTTGATCAAATGATTCATTTTCTATGGCTTATCAACCCTTTGCAGGTTATTTAAAGCCAGAAAATATTTTTAGACTGTAAGAATTTGTGTGTGGGGGGGGGAAAATAATAATTTAGTGATAAAAGTTTTATTAATTAACCCATAGCTGGGAGGAAAAAAGGTGGATTTGATCGAGTGATTTGTTTTCTACGGCTTATCAACCCCTTGCAGGTTATTTAAAGCCAGAAAATATTTTTAGATTGTAAGAATTCGGGGGGGGGTGCAGATAATAATAAATTGGTAATAAAAGTTTTACTAATTAACCTATAGCTGGGAGGAGAAAAGGTGTATTTATTTATTTTTTTTTCACCAAGTGTATTTGCTTGTAAGTGAATATAACGAACCCAACTGAAATTGAAACTCAGTTCAATTAACAATTCGGAGACATTATCCATTACACCACTCACACATCCACACTTATAGCACCTGGTATTCTCAACTGGTCATCCATCTAGGTACTGACCTAGTTCAACATTGCTTAACTTTGGCGATCATATAGGAACTGGTGTTTCAATAGAATATGGCCATAAGACACAAAGTGGCTGGAATGTTACAAGTGCACTGAAGTCAGAGGATTGTACTTTGAAGAGAAAGTTTTATTTATATATATATATATCAATACACAATAAAATCCCAAATCACTTCATATGGGGAATAAACTTATTTCGACAGACGAAAATGTAATTTCTGAGTTTTATCAACCCCAGCATAGACTGAGTTTGTGAAATAAGTTTATTCCCCATATGAGGTGATTTTGGATTTTATTGTGTATTAATTTTTGCTCTGTAATAATACATTGAGCTCTTTTTGGCGATCAGTTTTAATATTCTATATTACTAGGATCTACTCAGATTATATACCATTGGATTTATTACCTTTACTATATATATATATATATATATATATATATATATATATATATATATATACACACACACACAAACACACACAAAAGATGAAGGAATAAAATAAAATTTAAACACTGGATGGATTTAGGGAAAAATGGAATTAAAAAAAATTTAAATATGTCTCACCATTGCAAGCTTCGTCTAATTCCTGTCTACTGAACACTAATCCACTTTCTGAGATGGCACAGGTATGAAACTGGCAGCGCCAGATTATCTCACGGTGATTGCCACGTGGTTTCTTGTGATAACATTTGATGAGGACGTCACCACGGAGAGGGATCCCAGGTGAAATGGAAATCCACACCTTCTGCATGTTGTCAGTGACGGTGCTGAAAGAGAAACAAGAACATTTGATTGAAGTGAAAATAAAACTTCATTGAACAGCAGAAAGGTATTTAACTTACCTCAAAAGATAAATTAGGGAAACTATCTAATAAGCTTGTGTAAATGATTGGTAGAACAGAGTTAAAAGAGATAGCAAAAATACAAAATTTAGTAAGAGCTACAAAGGACATGAAATTGTGGAGAGCCATGATCACCCACATCCTGAAAGGACACAACACCTAGACAATTTATCATTATGGTTTAAAAAAAAAATATTGTTTAATATTTTGAAAAAGAATTTCCTTTTATCCCTGTACAAATAAGATATTGTGAAAATCATTTGTGTTATTTCTAAAAACAATTATTTCATTTAAGTAGATGACAAAGAATCAATAGGGACAAAATTTCCAATTTTATTGGCAGTCAAAGATTCTTACTTAAAAAATTGTCTGAATTAATAACTATTCAAATGTAATGTCAATCAACATCTTCTGAAGCCCTGATCTATCCCCTAACCTTCTCTTCATCCTTTCCTCTATCACTCCTCCTTGCTCTCGCTCCAACTCTTTGTAACTCCTTGCGTACTAATGGCTTCCCACCTTGCTTGGGGTAGAATGCTTAAAATTCTTTTTTATTTCCTTATTGAGTGAGCACAAAAGTTCCCAGTATTTTTTAAAAAATAAAGGATAAAGAAAATGAATTCTTTTTTAATTTGCTTTAATAACAAATTCTATAAACTACTATTTAATTTGAATCATAATTCCATATTATGTTTTATACAAAGATGTAAAATAAAACATTATTACATGATCTGGAATTAGAATGAAAGTAGTGATGGGACGTACTACGAATCCATCATAAAATTTCAGGATGTGGGACTAGATGCTTCAAATACATCACTATATGGATCAGTTACAACAAATGTAGTATGGATGATAAGGAAATTGAACATAAAATAGGCTGCACTAGGATTAGTTTCACACAATACTGCAAAATGCTACAAAACCAAAATAACTTAAAAACTTGTTATGATCTTAACTAGTCATGCATGGTATTCAACTTATTCAGAAACATTTAAACTGTCAGCTATATACAATCATTTTCTCAAATCAATAATTAAAAATGGTTTCAAGTGTAGGTCTTCAGGAGGACTGCCCTTCATTGGATCTTCTTGAGTGGCACTACAGAATCATAAACAAAGAACATTACCAATTAATAGAAACCACATAAACTGAGGACTTTCAACAGTAGCAACAGCTAAAATGGATAATACGTGTAACTTGAAGAGTAAATAATGACATAATGAAAATGTTGATTTTCTACACTATTTTACACAAAACTTTAGGAAGGAAACTCCCATTTCAATGATCAATTCTATGTTAGCTTAATGTATAATTGAGTATCTTGTCCATTGTATCACATGAAGATTGGGAAACAGGACTATAACTATCTAGATCAAGGTTTTTCAAACTGTGGGTCCTGAGCCTTGAATGGGTCACAAGATAAATAAAATGGGTCACAACAAAAAAAAAAAAAAAAAAAAAAAAAAAAATGCAAAGTGCAGAATATAAACAACTCTAAATGTTGCACAGCACTCATAAATCATTGCTAGTTTTCCAGTGAGGTGAGCTCATATTACCTTATATATATATATATATAGTCTGTTCTCATTGAGTTTATGTACCTTGTTTTGGATTAAGAACACTACTGAGTAAAAAGGCTATTTTATTACTATTGCCTTTTATAACTACTTACTTGAGTAAACTAGGATTTTCCACATTAACTAAAGACGAAGGACAGAAACAGGTCCCGCACTGCACGTGATATGCATGTAGCATTGTCTTCCCGTGTTCCCAACTGGAATCAGCTGCTTATGAACAAACAAGCACATCCATCTCATTAAATAGCCTTTTTTTAAAAAAAAATATTATTTACTTTACCTTTGTGTCAAAACTTACTTTAAATTTGTTTTTCTAAAAAGTAATTAATTTTATATTCATACAAATAGATAATACAAATAAATACATATACTTCCAATGTGTGTGGATCATGAGAAATATACAAATAAATTTTCGATGCTAAATAAATGAACCTAATGAACAGAGTTTGTCTTTGATTAATTACACGTAGGTATAATGTGTCGCAATCCGAAATGTGGTTCTTACTGTGGGTCGCAGTAAAAAGATATGGAAAATCACTGATCTAGATTATCACATGAAAGGCAACAATAACTGAGTATTGTTTTTCTTATATTTATTATAATGGATCTGGTTTTTATATTTTATATCGAGCAATGTTCTTGTAGTGTCCTTGTTTGTTTTTATTATTCAATATGTAAGATTATCAACTTCTGAATATAAACAAAACAATGCCAACTTACTAAATTCCAGATGTGAACATAGGCTGCATTCCTTGATACACCTTAATGAATGGTCGACAACCACCCTTTGTATCAAAGTTTGGGACCCCATGGATGAGGATGTGATGAAGGTAGAGAGTCTCGCTGTTGACTGTTATGGCACTAGACAGCAGGCCAGTGAAGTAGTGCACATACCTGAAAGGAGGGACAAAAAATGCAGAGCAACATGAAGAAACATTGTAAGAAACTGTGATTTAGTTTCAACAACTTTTAACCTTTACTTAAATATAAATATCTCAACATACCGAAATCTCTTGTACATACCAGCATCCCACTTATCTATAAAAAAAATCTAGAGTCTCATTTGGATTGTGTCCTTCAGGGTGATACTCTTGCACCTTTTCTTTTTGTTATCACCCTTGACTACGTATTGAGAACTGTTATGATGTTGATTTGGGGTTAGTAGAGACAAACGGCAAATAACACGTAACAATAAAAAGGGTTTTAATAGGTTGGTAAAAAGGTACAGAAATCGCCTGAGTAGTCAATAACTAGCTCAGCTAAGAACTTCTCTGTCTATCTATCTTCCCCATGTCAACTGACATGCCACTATTTAAGGTCTTTGTTTACAGACGAAGACAAGTTCATCTTCAAAAGGGGCGGTAGGTTTCCGACACAACAAGAACTTTCCTTGACAAAATTATCATCTAGTCGATATCCTTCAAAAATGTTGACAGATGTTGACTATGCAGATGACCCAGGTATCAGTGTAGATGCCATTATCAATGCCACAGTTCTCCTACATCATCTAGAAAATGCTGCTGATGATGTTGGGCTCTATGTCAATGCCTCTAAAACTGAATTCAAAGGTTTCAGCAAGCAAGGCTCAATACAAATTGTCTCAGGTGAATCAATAAAATCTGTCTAATCTTTTACATACTTATGAAACAAGATAAATTCAACTGAAAAAGGATGTGAAAATTTGCATAACTAAAGCCTGGGCCATCTTAAATAAAATGGATATAATGTGGAAATCTGATCTATCAGACAACCTCAAGCAGAGATTCTTTCAAGCCACTGTGGAGATGGTGTTCATGTATGGTACCACTGTCTGGACATTAACTAAAACCCCAGAGTCTAAACTTGATGGAATCTACACTTGGATTCTAAGAGCTATACTTAACATCTCTTAGAGACAACATCCAATTAAATCATCTAGGGGCTCATCCTTGATATTTCTACAATCTTACATGAACACAAAATGCACTTTACAGAACACTGTTGGCAAGCAAAACAAGAACTCATGAAGGATCTACTGCTCTAGACACCTGACCATGGAGCAAGATGAGTTGGTCACCCAGCAATGTTATGATACAGAATGCCTCTCCAATGACCTTGATGCAGGACTGTGATGGTTGGTGTGATAGACTCATAATGTGCGAGCTAGCTTGACCAAATATAAAGTTATATATCACACACACTAGTCTACATATAGTATTAAAACAAATGGCATATTTAAATGTTTTATATTTTAGAAGTACAATGCAATTACAAAATCTCTATTCATTCGTAAGTGTCAAAAAATAATTTAAAACAGTTGAATTATGGTTTTGTCAAATCTAAGATACGAGAAAATTCTATTTCAACTACATCAGAAAAGTCTGCTACATTGAGATAGTAATGTAGAAAAGTGTGACCAAGTGGTTAGAACATTTGTATTTGGACCATGAGACACCTGTTCAAATCTCATCATGGTTAATTTATTAAGTAGGTGACTACTTGATAATCAGCCTGGGGAGATGATTTCAAGATGCAGCACCATTGTGAAGTGCCTGATAATCACACCTAAGTTTTGTGAGTCAAACTGGGTCAATGAAACTATTTTTTGAAACTGTTTGCGAGCACAAAGTCTCAAGTCATCATGACCAAGGATTTGAGCAGACTGGCCCTGTTTAACTACTGACCTTGCCAGATTAGGCACCTTCTCCCCCAAACTGTAACTAACATCTGTTCAGCATTGTTGCAGTATCAACCACAAGCAGGCTGTGTATGTTGAAGAAATGTGCCTGAGCAGGCATCAACAACAGGGATTAACTAACCACTAAAGCAAACAGGTGTACTTAGAAATGAGCAGCGTGTGATTATGTGTGTGCACATACTTATCTTTATATTTATGTGAGGGTAACTCATTTAAATTCAGATAACAAAAGCTGATATATATTTTTTTACATCATTTTTGGATGTGGAAGAAATAAGTAAAACCAATTATCATACATCTGAAGAAAAAATATCAACCAATCTATTGAGTGAACATCTCAAATAATTATTCTACTAAACAAGTTTATTTACAAGCCCACTTAATGTATAGTGCGACCCCTGACATTTTTTTGTGAAAAAAAACTTTTATTTTTTTATTTATTTATTTATTATTATTCTTATATAGCTTGTGATCCCAGCTCCTGAGCAATACTAGTAGATGTACTCTAGTCAAATTTTGGAGCATCATCGTGAACATATTTTATAGCAAATAAATAGTTTTCATTCTTTTTTGTAAAAAGCTACCCCAAAATGGTGAGATAACCACTTACAAAAATATCTGATACAAAGATTTAGATACCGTACTTTTATTTTCATTCATGCATGAAATTAAACCCCTCCAGAAAGAAAATTACCTGTGTATAGTGCAACTGGTCACCAAAAATGCATGATTTTTAACTTCTTCAAAAAAATTACCTGTGCATAGTACGACCCCCTATTTTTTGCGTAAAAAAACTGATCATAAAAACTCACGCTACTCGAGTATATACGGCAACAAAAGGAAAAGTTTAGTAATAAGTCTACAGTTATCTCCCTTACATCGTTAAAAAAGAAAAAAAAAAAACTTCTCGTGAACGCTAGAATCCTAACATATTTTATGACTTAACATGATTAAAACAGCATAAAGTTGCGGTTATGAAGAAGGATGAAATATCAGCATTTAATTTATGTATAAAAAAAAAGTTAAAAAAAAAAAAAATTACTCTAAAGTGAGGTTACATTACCTTCTCTGTGATGGCTGGGGCAGGCCCCCCAGTTTATCATCATAGAAACGCCTCATGGCAAACCTGTCTAATGCCTGATCATTGCTGCAAAAAAAATATAAGGAAAAATAAATTAAAAAAATACAACATTTTCTGAATTCATAATTAATTATATGTGCTCTTTAATAAACAGAGATTTACAAAACAAATTTACAACAGTCAGTCAATTCTCACTGTCATATCACTCGTTACTTTATTTAATGGCATGACACCTCCTGTTTCTTCCCCCAACAAAAATGGTTAAAATATATTCCCTGAGAGTCTGTCTATATTTCTGAGATGAGGTATTATGTACAGTATTTACATTAGTCGGACTATTGTTCTTATCTTTGTTGCCATATTTGACACAATGTTTCGGCGTCAAAGATGAGAACAATAGTCTGACTAATGTAAATACTATATATTCCCTGAGTCTTAAATGCAAAATTAAAGTATCCAGTAGGTTAAAGTTTACCATTGACTATCAGTACTTGTACTTTGCAAAGATTCTATAAAACTAATATTAAATAGGTTAGGGAATCTTATCTGCCATCAAACATATGCAGTACTTATTAATAAAAACAAGGTGAATCTTAACGTCATGTTTTTTTTCAGAAATGCAAAGGAAAAAGTAAATTCATAACTCTCTTAAAAACACAAGAAAAACACAAGAAAAAATAAATTAATTCCAAACAACTTAAGAATGCTCTTAAATCTGTAATAGAAGGGGAGGTTGGAAAATTAATTCAGAATTCATTAGTTTCCAAAACAAAAAAAGGAGAGAGGAGCTTGGAAAAATTGTTTTAATTTGAGACCAAACAAAACCAGTAAGAATATCCAATATGAAGAAGAAATTTCTTGAAACTAAATAAATGCTTCCCAATATCTGAGGTGATGCAAGTAAACAGAAAAATGTAAATCTAATTCTGAAACAAAAGTGTTTATCTTATTCCCTACAGTATCAATAAAAAGAATACCCGCTCGGCCCGGTGGCTCTGCGCTTTGTGAGCTGCCGGGTCGGGTGTCTGTCGAACTCTCTGCTTGCAGAGAGGAACCCGGACGAAGCTCCGCCGAAGGGTGGGGTTTCATTCGGGGAGGTTGACGGAACTAGCCCGCTTGGACGGGTTTAGATGGGTTTTATTTTTGGCTGGGCCTACGGGCTCAGACATACCCACATTAAAAAGGCCTTGTGCCACATTCAATTCCTGTGGGTGAATTGATAAATACCATCTTATTCCCTACAGTTATTAGTAAAAGATTTTTTTAAGAGCATGTGGAAGGTATTTATTTATTTTTAAATCACTTTTGGAATATTCTCTTTATTTTAAATAAGAGACAAAAATATAAAAATATGACCTCTTCTAATAACTTTTGAAAAAATAATGAATGGTGTTAACTTGAAATTGTTTTTTTGTTTTTGCAGTAAAATGTATTTTTAGTGTTTATCATTGAAACTTAAAACTTTTTTAAACTGTCTTGATCAGAAAAGTTTGTTTAGATAATCTAAGCTGAAAGTCACAATACAAATAACTTGGCAGAAAATAATAACATTATTTTTTTTTCTCTTATTGAGTATATAACCAGAATTCTCATTTAGGGTTTAGAATCAATTACGTTCCTATTTACAAACATACACAAAACAAAACTTTTCCTTTATATATCCAATGACTCTATATAGAAAAAAAAAATCTATTTTTAATTGTGTCACAAGAAATAAAGAAACAGCATTCCTGTATTTTCCAAACCTCAATTACTTTCACAAAATAAACAAATATACTGCATCAAATGAGTTTGCATTATAGATAAGAGACCTAACAGAAAATGTATTACAATGTTTCCTAAAATTGGTATGGTAACCCCAGAGTGAAAATATAATTACAGTTTTTTCTTCATTTAGTTTTTAATAAACTTTTGAAATTTTACTTGAATAATCAAATCATGCAGAAGGCACGGTGGAGTAATGGATAGTGATTTGGATTGAGGAATCGGAGAGCTGAGTTTGAATTCCAGTCAAATCCATTACATTCACTTATATGCTAATACCCTTGAGAAAGGTATGAATCCTCTTCTTCTCCCTGCTAGCTTTGGGTAAATAGCAGAACAGACCAGGTTCTGTAGCCTTGGATGTCAACTGGTCTACTGCAGGAATAAATGGCAACCTACTGTGGGAAAAAAATCTGTCTTGTCAGTCATGTATTGAAAAATACATGATCGCCTAAGTGTGTATTACGCATGGCACATAACTGACTGATGAACAATTATGATTAACATCAAAAACAAATATTTTGATTTGCATGTGTTTTTCAATATATAGTCACATATAGTCACTGACTGAATCAAATCTTGATTGATTCATTTTCTAACAGCTTATCAACCCTTTGCAGGTTATTTAAATCCAGAAAATATTTTTAGTTTGTAAGAATATTTTTGAAGGAGATAATGATTTAGTGAAAAACATCTTACTAATTAACCCATAGCTGAGGGAAGAAGAGGTGGATTCATATCTTTCCCAAGGGTATTTTTGCATAAGGGAATATGGGATTGAAACTCGGCTCTCCGATTAACAATTCTGAGCCATTATCCATTACACCACCTGCACATCTAAGCTTAAGCTCCTGGTATACCCAAGTGGTCCCCATCTAGGTACTGACCAATCTCAACATTGCTTAACTTTAGTGATTGTATGGGAACTAGTGTTTCAATGCAATATGTCTGTAAGTGCAATAAATCTTGATGTTTCTTACTTTCAAAAATGAAAAATATAACTTAATGTATATGTATCATGCACATGGTATTACAGTTCATCCATCAACCAAAAAACCCAATAGTAGAAGTTAAGATAAAAAGTGTCTCTGTTTCAGGCTCTCTATATGTCTTGGCATACAAGCATTGGACATGAACAAACTGGAATATGCCAGGAATTCTCATACATTTATCAATGCTTTCTTATTCATAATTAGTTTCCTGTTGAAAAGTCTCAGTGACACTTTTGTGATGGAAATATATTTGTACTATTTTTTCTTTATTTTTAACATTTTTTATTTTCTTTTTTTCTGGCCCATTCAAGCAAATCAGGAGCATCCCTGTGAATATTGGTTAAGGATCAACTAACTTTGAGGATACGGAAAAGGGGAAGGGCCGAACTGTAGTGAGCAGTCATCCATAAAAAAAAAAAAAAAAAAAATAAAAACCATATGAAGCATAGCTTATGAACTGGCAAAAACAGATAAACATTGATCAAAATAAATTTCCAGTAGTGTGATGATAGTAGATTCTTGATTTTTTTTTTTTAAGCCAAAGTGGACCACTTAGGATGTGATTTGTGGGGTACTGTGTAATGGCTTGGAATTAGAAATTTGAGAACCAAGTTGGGCTCATTACATTCATTCACATGCGAATACCCTTGAGAAAAGTATAATTTCATGTTTTCAATGCTATAGGTTGAATAGCAGGATAAACTGGGCCCTATAGCCATGGTTGGCAACCAGTCTACTACAAAAAAACAGCAGCCTACTGCAGGAGATCTTCTGCCTAGTTAGTCATAAAATGAAAGTGTGTATCATATACGGCATTCCTCTTTTATAATAAATGAATTTGAATTCATATGGTGTCTTTTTAATGCAAGTAACTTGCAGCTTCCTAGGTTTTTATGACTTTATTTCTTTACTTTTATTTCTTTAGTAAATAACACAATATTTATTTTATTGCTGACATATAAACCAAGTATCCAAATATTAAACTGTACCCAATATACTGGTATTATGTATAGGAAATAACTGCTAACAAAAAAGTCCAGGATAATTTAATTTAAAGTCAGCAGTAGCAAAGAAAAGCCCTTGTAAAACATTTTCCTTATAGGCTAGTAAATATGGCACAATATAAATAAAATAGATTAATATCTCATCAAGGTTCTGTGCTCCAACTGCTTTCTTAGAACTGGTGTCAGTTAATTAGGTCACCCATTTAGTGTAAAAAGCAAACACCAGCCTTAAGATGAAATTTGTCTAGTTTACTACTTAAATTTAATAACAGGAGCTTTAAAGTGAAAGTTGCCTAGTTCAGAGATTGGTGCTCAGACTGCTCAAATATAACAACAGGAGATTGTTGATACTCATTAAAACATTCATTGACTCAGAATAATGATCATGTTTCAATTATAGAATAAATGGCTCAACAATTTTGCATTAACAGCTGGGATGCTTGACCACAGCAGAATCCTATTGTTGTTGCTTGCTGACATGTTCAATGGTAAGGAAAGCTAGATATTTTCATTGGATGTAACTTAAGAATACTTAAAACAATAATATCTCAACTTAGCCAAGTCAACTTAAACCAGAACAAACAAGTAATTCATCAACGAGATTCACATTTACATATGACAAAGAGAGAAATGATTTTTACTTGAGATTCTATCTAAAGAGTTTTAAGATGAAGAAAACTGTCATGTAATCCATATAATAAAAATTAGCAATAGACATCTACAGTTTGGTGCTGTATTAGAGTCAATAAAATTTTGTGACAGAAAAAAAGAGAAAGCAATGAGGAAATGACAGGTGGTAATTGATGACTTACCTTGAACAAATATTACAGTAGTTCATGTAGGCAGCAGTGACAACAGCAATTCTTCCTTTGCCGCCTTTGCAGTGGATAACCACAACACGTTGGGGGTCAGAGTTGAGCCAAGAGTCAATTGACTTACAGATGCTACACATACGTTCGAGGGGTGGGGCCAAGTGGTCTGGCCAACCAAAATCAACAACCTGGAGAGAAAAAGAAAAAAAACTGATTAGAAATTTTAAGAGCATCAACTACAAAAGAAAATATTTTTTTAAAAAAGGGTAGGGGAACTGAGAATCAGTTATAAATAGATTAGAATATAGGATAAATTCAAATGAACACTTGTAACCTACATGATAAGTGCAAGAGCAGTCCTTTTTTGTCTAAATTTATGCATAATAAAGAATGTTATTTTTATTTCCAATAATTTGTACACCAGGTATTCAACAAAATTACCTCCCTTTGCAACATTAATTAAAAAACTCACTAGGTTGCAACAAAATTTGACCCTTTTTTTGAACAGTAGGCATTAATGGCTTATAAGTAAAAACCTATAATTAATACTGGATTTTTTAAAATAAACTTGTAATACTGGATATTCAGCTTAATTTAAAATTTCTATAAATACTCTCATGGTAATTGTTCTGATAAGCTTTCTTATTTTGGTATCTTGACTTTACAAATTTAAGCACTGTACTAGATTGGCAGCTAGATTTTACAGTTGAAATTACTAGATATAACCCTAAGTTCTATGCCAACAGCTTTTTCACTTGCATTTCCCACTTGTGTAACTCACTTTCATATTCTTACTTCCCAGTTAACTTTGATCTTCAAAAATTTAAATGCATTGTCTATTGTCATCTTCTGTCTTTTTAATACCAGTTCTTTTATTGTTGTCTCTCTTTAATAATGTTTTTCTTTTTTTCATATTCTTTCACATTCAGTATTTGTCTCAGTGGTTTTATTGCTTTACTTGGGTGAAATGATTAAAAAGAAAGATTCTATGGTAGGCTTTAATAGATTAATGAAACACTAGTCAGTAAACTCCAGATTGTGAAGCAGTCTTTTAGAAGTAAGGTATTACTCTGTAGAAATGTTAATAATAATTTATTGCTTTTGTATGATGCTTTCTGATTGCCCCAAGGACATTACAGTTGTCTCTATACTTTAAGGTATATATTGTTCTTAAGAGACAAGTAGTAGAAATATGAATACAAGTCTAATAGTCTAATCTTATTTCAGTCTGTCCAAAATTTAATCAAAAGTTTTTACTTGCATTATTATTTACATTATCATTGATATGTTCTAAGACCCCCACCCCTTACTCCTGAGTTAGTTATGTGCCATGCGTGATTCACACTTAGGCGATCATGTATCTTTTGATATATGACTGACGAGGCAGATTTTTTTTCCCCACAGTAAGTTGCCATTTCTTTCTGCGGTAGACCAGTTGCCATCCAAGGCTATAGAACCCGGTCTATCCTGCTATTTACCCATAGCTGGGGGGAGGGGGGGAGAAGAAGAGGATTCATACCTTTCCCAAGGGTATTTATTAGCATGTAAGTGGATGTAATGGATTTGACTGGAATTCGAACTTGTCTCTATGATTCCTCAATATGAGCTGCTATCCATTACTCCACTGTGCCTCCTGACTAAATACCTGACCATTACTCCACTGTGCCTCCTGACTAAATACCTGACCATTACTCCACTGTGCCTCCTGACTAAATACCTGAAACAGTGAAAGTATTGAATTCTTTGTGTTCATTGATGACAGATTTATTAAATCCTGTCTTTTCTTTGTAATCAGCTATCATTTTCTGAGCAATGGATGCTTTTGTGCACCTTCATAAACAGGTAACACCAACTTTTTGATCCTGCAAAGTTCACAATCTTTCATTCTTTTGCTAATCTCCTGATGTGGGAGGTGGGCATTAATTATCATTTTGTAGGAAACACTTCTCCCTGAATTCTTCTAATCTACTACTTTTTTTTTTATATCATCCTCAAATTATGGAAAAATGAAAGTTATATTTATCTTCTTGCTGTTGAAAAACATGTGATTTTTTTTTCAGCAGATGGTGAACCAAAAACACTTGCTGTTCTGTTCCCATACACCTTAGTCTATTAATGTGAGGTTTCCTAGGTTAGTGTTTTACCTTTACCAGTTCTTTACATCTCTTTATTTAGTTCTTTGAGAAAGGTATTGACCTATATCATCTACTCAAAGCTATCGGTTAAATAACAGAGTATACTGGGCTCTATAGCCTTGGGTGGAAGCCAATCTAGGAGAATGATAACTCTGAATTCAAAACTAAATATTACATAGACTGATGACATAAAAAAAAAACAAGATTTTTAACCAAAATTTCTAATGTGCTAAATATAATTAAAAATTTAATAAAATAAATAAAAAAAACACTTTGGTTTTTCCTATTAATAATAACAAACATTTTGATGATAAAATCTTGTTTTTATTAAGTTTGTGGCATTTTTTTCACCATGCTATGCTGTTTTCCCAGTGCAAAAGTGGTGGTACCTAAATAAAAGAGGAGTAGTAGTAGAATAATAATAATAATAATAATAAAAAAATCAGTGTTCTCTGGATGGGCTATGTTCTTCACAGATTTCTCGTTCTTATGGCCTCTTTCTTAAGTTCCATTAGATCAAACTCAGTACTTTAATAATGACAGTCATAACTTTCTCAGCTCTCTGGTAAGGTTGGGATATGTATCTATGGTAGAAAACTATATATATATATATATTTGTATACCAGAACAGTGTTAAGAAAATTAATGACAAAATGAAAAAAAAGAAAAATTGTGTGATGGATTTCATCCTTTAGGACTTCTTCAGACTAAAGTGATGTTTCCATTGATGAAATTACATATGCTCATGAAGAAGAGAAAACATGAAATTTTAAACTTTTGAAATTTAATTTTTTTAAAGATGTTTTTGGGTATAAAGTCTAGCAAATTTCATTTATTTTTTTTCTTATGTTTTCAGCACTTTTATTATTATTATTATTCGATATCCCATATTGTGACAACAGTTCTACCAAGAAAGTAGAATGCTATATACCCCAACATCTGGATGAAAAAAAAAAAAAAAAAAAAAGTTCAATATTGCAGCTTTCCCTTCTCTTTATGTGTGTGTAGTTACATCATCGTAAACATCACTTTAGTCCAATGAAGTCCTAAAGGATGAGAAACAAGTCACACAAAAACATTTTTTTCTACCTTGTCATTAATTTTCCTAATACTTATCTAACTTATTGCACTTTTTTTTGCATTTATTCTGTAGTCATAAAAGCAACTACATTGCACTTTTTTATTTATTGTTTTCTTATTATTATTGTTATTAATTTTGCTATTGTTCTAGTAGCAGAAAAAAACAAAGTAATTCCTTAAAATATTTTCACAAGACTTTTTTTGTAGATGGGGTCTTGCTCCTCAATGCATTGTACATGAGTAAGTATAGTTTGTAATTTTCTGAGAGAGAATTTGGATGAAAGCAGAGCGTAAAAAAAAAATTTTAAAAAAATCCCCTTTTCTCATGTTTGTCTGTAGAGCATCTGTGACCAGCACCAAGTATGAGGTCAACTTCATGAACAGCAGAGGAGACAAAGAAAAAAAAAGAAAAGCAAAGAAAATGTGTCAACAAATTTCCTACTTGAAACAACAAGGATGATTACAGCTTTTCAACATCAGTAGAAAAAGGTTGTAGAACAATTACACAGCAAAATGGCCTTATCTTCAAAGAGCAACATGGCTATCAAAGAATCATCAGTGTTTGTATATGTAATGGGTTTTCAAGGCATATCCTCATACTATGGTTACAATATTTGTGCAGACCTATTGTAAGGGTATAGAGGACTCTTGTGAGTATGTGTGTGTTATCAGTTGAGTGCATTGGTTCATTTACAATGAAGAAAGACAATCAATCTAGATAAGCACAAAGAGGAACCAGCTACCAGTTTGAATGTGTGTGCCCACACAAGATCAATTTATTTTTCCATATTTATTATACGACACTGGCAACTGTCATCTATAAGAAAAATAAATATTCTTTATTTCTTATAAATAACGATCTATAAAATCAGTTTTGTGAAATAAAATCAACATAGATATCTTCACTTAACATATTGCAGATACCAATCTACAATCTACCTACCAAATCTTATTGGTGATATTGCAGGTAGAAATCTACCTACCAAATATTATTGGTGATATTGCAGGTAGAAATCTACCTACCAAATATTATTGGTGATATTGCAGGTACAAATCTACCTAGCAAATATTATTGGTGATATTGCAGTTACAAATCTACCTAGCAAATATTATTGGTGATATTGCAGGTACAAATCTACCTAGCAAATATTATTGGTGATATTGCAGGTACAAATCTACCTAGCAAATATTATTGGTGATATTGCAGGTACCAATCTACCTAGCAAATATTATTGGTGATATTGCAGGTACCAATCTACATAGCAAATATTATTGGTGATATTGCAGGTACAAATCTACCTAGCAAATATTATTGGTGATATTGCAGGTACAAATCTACCTAGCAAATATTATTGGTGATATTGCAGGTACAAATCTACCTACCAACATTCAACATCATCTCACTCTCCCAAAATATACCATCTTTCCCGTCAAGTTATAAACTATAAATCTTAGGAATCTATTGCTAAATATTATTTCTCTTGCTTTTCATCCCAATCTTCACATTATTATTTGATAAACTTTATGTAACTCACATAGATCAGAATCAAAGAATAAAATTTCCATGCCTGACACTTATTCTTTATTTCCAATCCATGCTGCTTACTTAGTCATAGAATCTGAGACATGTGACAGAAAATGGAAAAAAAGATGTTTAAAAAAATTTATAATAATGACAATGCTTCATTTAAGAGTTTAAATCTCCATATCTATTAATAATTTGCATCTTTGGTGCACATAAAATCTCAAAGAGAACTTTTTTTAGAGTAAGTACTAAAGCATTTAAACATTGTTAATAGATGACTGATACCATGCCACCTGATGAAACAAGTTATGTCTCACATTCTTTCAAGTAGACAGAAGAGTTTGTGAATGGAGGAAACTACATGAGATTATGATCTAATAGAAACAGTGACTCTCCATTTTTGTGAAGTGAGTTTTATTGGAGTTTACAAGGTTTTTTCTGTTATAAACAGATATTGTTGCAGACCATTTGCAAATCTTTATTGCTCATTCAAGATGTAAACTATCAACTGCAGTCACCAAAATCGGGCAAATACAAAAATTTAAATATTTAGGAAGTGCTTTAACAAAGTAGGGAAGATGCAACACAAAAATCAGAAGGTGCTTCGGAATAGCAAAATATACCTTCCAAAAGCTAAGTATTAAGAAACAGGAAAACTCTTGTCAGAAACAAAGAAAAGAGTACTAAACTGCTAAGTAATATCGGTCCTACTATATGGTAGTTAATACTGGAAAATCTCCTCACAGATGAAGAGACTTGAGGCAACAAAATGTGGTTCTACAGAAGGATGTTGAGAATACCATAGACAATGTGAACAATGAGAAAGCTTTAGAGAAAATGGAAACAAAAAGAGCACTTAGAATCAAATAAGTAAAAGGCACTACTTTCAGAGCATCCTATAGACTCACACACACAAGACAGTGGAGTTGTCCAATGTATAGTGAGACCATAAATAATCATTTGTTTAAAAAGTTTTTTTTTCATATTGCTATAGATTAAGCACTCCAGATCATGAAGATGATTTTTTTTATTTTATTGTTTTATAAAAGTTAATTATTGATCTGTAAATTAATTGTAAATTAATACCCTGGTGCAAGCCAAAACAAATATGCTCATAAAATGTGGTTTCTTAAAATGTAAAATGTAGGCCATTCCTCATAAATTACTATCAATTAAACAGTACAGATTTTGAATTTCAAAAAAATATTTAATTATTTTTACATTTTAAGAAGTCATGTCACATGGGCATGTTTGTTTCGGTTTGTGTAGAGGAATCAATTTACAATAAAAGAACAGGAATTAATAAACCAATTGTTATCTTCTTCCTTCTTAATTCCTGTCATTTTATTGTTCTTGCCCCTTAAGGCTTTTCTTTTTCTCACATTATCCCTCACTCAGTAACCCCTTGTTTTAGTGGATTTATTGCCTTGCTTGGGGTGAAATGATAAAAAAAAAAACATAGCAAACTGGACCATCCTATTAACTTTTATACAATTTAATAAAGAATTTTTTTTTAATATTCATAATCCAGTGTGCTTAATCTATAGCATTATGAAAAGAAGTTTTTTAATTAAAAAGTTATTATTTCTGGAGGCAGCAGCTAATGTACAACTATATATATATATATATATATATATATATATATATATATATATATATAGAGAGAGAGAGAGACAGACAGACACACCGGCATACAGATAGATATATGCATAAATAAATGTTTACATAAGATATGAAAATATAGCAACACATATAATCATGTACACACAAATACAGATGTGTATACACACACACACAAAATCAGAATGCATAGATATTAATTCTACTTTATTATCACCAAGGTATACAAAACAATATTGATAACCAACTCACAAAGATAAAGATACTGGGAGAGTATAATCAATCATTGACACATAATATCAAGTAAATGTTTTGAGTAGCTTTCTTTGTTACCTTGAGTGCACAAATTTAGATGTAGTGCTAAACTGGCAATTATATCTCATTGTTTCATGTTGAAATAGTTTGATGTAAGTTTTATTCTAATAGACTTTTCTTTGCACTTGTGAAAATTTCTTCCAGTTTCTTGCCTTCCTGTCACCTATAATATTCAAAAGTTTAAATGTAACATCAATCACTAGCTTCTGTTTTCCTGAATCCTTGTTCTTTTATCATGTTTTCTCTTCAATAATATTTTCTGATCTTCTTTCATTCTCAGGAACGCACTGTGTTTTAGTGGCATAATTACATTGCTTGGGAAGAAATGTTAAAAAAAAGAAAAAAGAAAAAAAGTGACTCAAATCTTATCTTATAAACAAGTGGCTCAAATCCCATATCATTCCTTACCCTCAAACAAGTGACTCAAATTCCATATTATTAACTGCCCTCAAACAAGTGACTCAAATTGTATAATATTACCTGCTCTCAGACAAGTGACTCAAATTGTATATTACCTGCTCAAATTCTATAAGAATATAACCTCCTGTTTGCTGTCAGCTTTTTCTAATCTATTTTTCTTATTTCTCATCCTGGGTAAGACAATAAACTACATCCGTGTCCTGTGTAAGATGATAAACTATATCCAACAGCAGGACCTCTGAGTAGGTTTTGAGAAGGGTCCCAGCTATAGGCAAATAGTTGACCCCCCAAACTGGGGCCCAAACACTATGAAAGTGTAAAAAATAAGTTTTAATACCAGCAATACATTTTTGTAAAAGGTTATTACCAGCAATGAATTTTTGTAAAAAAAAAATATTACCAGCAATAAAAATCTTGTCAGAATTAAATAACCCACAGAGGTTGATATGCTGTAAAACAAACCAAACCATTTATTTCTTTTCTTTTTTGCAACCTATTTGAATGGAAATTTTGAGAGGACAAGAGCAGAGCACATAATGGTCATTCTACAAGTGATTCTATCTTATCTCATTATCATTATTAACAGGTGTTTTTCAGCTCCATATACTATATACACAAACAAACCGTTATTTACACAGTTGACAAGATATAAAAACTGTCTACATATTCAATATATACATACATAATAAAATAATATTTATGACTCAGTGATGATGATAATTATAAAGTTAATTATATTATCGCTGTCATGTGACAGCCTCAGACCCGTGTATCTATCAAACAAAGAAAAACTTTACAACCTCAGCACTTATCTGTTACAAAATGTGGAGAGAGAATAAGTGACAGACAATTGGCCAATAGCCAAATTGGGAGTCCTGTTTGTCAAGGGCTACTAACAAAATATGCTGAGTAATCTTTACACAGCATATTATATAACATTAACCCCCTACTAGACCACTGTTGGGAATTGAGTTATCTCCCTTAATCTCTTAATTTTTTTCCAACTAAAGTTTCATTTTCATGTATTTTATTTAAATTAAGTATTCAGTATAAGATGTGCAGTGTGGTATAATGGATAAAGGCTCAGAATGAGAAATTAGAGAGCAGAGTTCAAATTTCAGTCAGGTTTGTTATATTCACTTATGTAAATAACTATGGGAAAGGTATGAATCCATCTCTTCTCCCCCAGCTATGGTGTGAATAGTAAGACAGACTGGGCCCTATAAACTTTGGTTGGCAAGCAGTCTACAACAGAAAGAAACAGCAGCCTACTGAGGGAAAATCTTCTGTCAAGTTAGTCATGAATCAAAAGAGACATGATTACCAAAGTGTCTATCCCGTATGGCACTTAACTGAATAACTAACTGATACAATATAAGAAATATGAAAATATGTTTATTCTTTTTACCTTTATTCATATTCTTGGGTATAAACATTTTTAAGCACCAATTCCTTTCAAGAGAAATGTAATCATAGTTCCTCACAACTTCCTGTCTTTTGTTTCTCTATGTAACTTTTGACTTTTCTTTGTCTCTCTTCTGCTATCTATTCACACAAACTTGTTAAGTGAGTTACTCTTACCATTTCTCTATCCTTGCTTCTTTTGCCTTCAAGACGTCCAGTGTTAAATTCTCAAGACTCTTTTTCCTCATTATGCCTTCAGAAACATCAATTCTCTTTCTAATTATAAGTTTATAAGTTTGCTTGTAGTTCTTCAGTGAATACCTAAATGATATTCATCATGACTCCATTAAGGTTCAAGCTATCAGCAGCTGGTTTACTAATCAAGTGTTCCAAACTTCCAAATGCAATAACAACATAAAAAGAACTGAAGTTAATAAGTACACATAAATTTATTACTGAAAAATATGTCTCAACAGAATTTTTGCTTTTTGCAACAAGCTATGATAACTCTCCAAAAGAAAAAAAAAAAAGAAAATTGACATGATTTTATCCTAATCGTCCTTCATATGTTCATTCAGTACAAAGTTAATAAACCTTAAGAGAAGGTAACGATGTAAATGTACTTACAATGATCTTTTAAGGTCTTACTCTCCTGAAACAAATATGTTGGGATAGTGAGTAGCAACTGCCAACTTCCATTTTTTTTTTTTTTTTTAACCAACTATATCCAATTATTATGAGCCTGTTTTTTTTTTATATCTGTCTATATTTCTGAAATGAGGTATTATGTACATTATTTACATTATTCGGACTATTGTCCTCATCTTTGTCACCTGTTTTTTATATTTCATGTTGACTCCCTTGACCTATGTTAAAACAAAAGATGTCAGTGGTACCAACTTTTTTTTACTCATCACCCAAACTAAGAATTCACAATAAATTTTTAACCTACTACTAGTTATTAACCAAAGACCATCTAATTAGAAGGAAGAGATTAATGAATTAACAATAAAAGCAAAAATCTTACTTGTGGATTTGTTTTAATCAAGTCTTCCCTCTTTTCTGAAAGGTTGATGACCTGCATAAAATAAAACCAAAAACAAAATCAGTCACATTGAAAAAATAAAGAAAAAGGTACAAGTAAATTATAGTGAGAAGCTTTGAAATTATTTTACTTTGATAATTAGCATATAGAAGTTCTTATTTTATATTCTGTTTATTATATATAGCTAGTTAAAATAAGCCCAAATTTTGAAGATTTGTGTCAGTCAGTGCATTTCTTGAACAAGAATTATCCACTAAAAGATATATATGTGGCAAATAAATTTCCTAATAAAAGTCAGGGGAAAAAAATTATATATAAAGAAGCTAAAACGTTCCACTATCAAATTAACTGATGTATTCATAATTTACTTCTATACTAACTTGATCAACTCTAAACTAATAAGAGAGGAAATCAGTATTGTAAAGTAGCGTTGCTATTTTGTCTTTCAAATTTAACTAATGAAAATCCAACTAGAATTGAGCAGAAACAATTGTACAGGTTTTCCAAAACTCATGAAAGAAGAAACCTGCATCAACTGAGAAGGTAAGTCTGAAACCAACAAAACAAAAGTTTTTCTTTTGATCTGGATTCATCCAATTTGGTCAGGTGTTTCTCTAATGTATCTAGAGATTCTTGATAAGATACAAAAAAGAATTTGCAATGTCATTGGTCCTGACATTTTCACTTCAGTGACTTTCTCACTGCCATAATGTAGCTTTCTTTGGCTTTTCTATAAACATTTTCATGATAATTATTCTGATGAACTTTCATCTATGGAACCTAGACTTTATGAATTTAAGCGCAGTACTATATTAGCAGCAAGGTTTCATCAATTTACAGTTGAAATGGCTAAATATAACCATGAGTTCTATGCTAATAGTTTCTTCTATCACACTTCTCACTTGTGGAACACTCTTCTGTCATTTTGCTTCCCAGTCAACTTTGATCTTCAAAATTTATAAGCAATGTAAATCATTTTCTATCTTAATTCCTTTCCTTTTATTGTTCTCTCTTTAATAATCTTTTTTGCCTTACATCTTAGTGGCTTTATTGCATTATTTGAGGTGAAATGATTAAAAAAAATACATATACATTTTTTCTAACTGTTTTACTTATTAAGAATAATTTAAAAAGAATGATTAAAACCCCAATTTCCTTATTGACTTGTTTTGCATTAAATTCTCATTGCTTTTTAATAAACGAAGGGCAATTTTTATTTATGCATACAGTTATTTTAAAGATAGTTTAAGAAATATTTAAAGATTGTAACAAGTTCATCTGACTTAGTTCTGTTCTTTGTCTTGAAGCCAGAAAGCTGAGATCACTTTTCTGTATTCCTCTTGTGTGCTAACACTATTCTTAGTTTGTAAACTTTGTCCTGTTACTTTGCTTTGCATATATTGTTTGCTCAATATTATTTTTACTCTGGTCTTTTCTTTCTCTTGTTCTTGTTTATTGCAAGCTTTGTCAATGCTGTTGAGCATTTAAGGAATGTTTAAACATTTTTAAATGTAAGAAACACCTATTTAAAAAAAAAACAGAAAAACATAACACTCTCCATCAGCACTTTCTAGGAGTGGTCAGCCAAGTGAAAGGGGGATAGAATTAGTAATTCTTGAAAAAATATGGAAATTCTTGAGGAAATTCTCGACTTTAAAAGAAATATATATTTTTCTTAGAAAGAAATTCTAACTTTGCAAAGATTTTAAAAGTAATTGTGAAATCTTAAAGAAAATTCAAAATTTACTAATTAAAATAGCTAATGCATAAAGATTTCAAGGACATGTTGAAAAACAAAAAAAAAAAAAATCATGTAAAGTTCCAGGAAAAAGCTATCAAAATAAAATCTAGAATAAAATTTCTATATAAAAGATTTTGTTATATTTTACAAAACTTAGTTGTTCGTTCTTCACTTTACACTTCTCCCTCCAAAATTAAAACATCTATAAATGTAAATATAGTAATTTGGCATAAGAAAATAAACACAGAATGAATTAAAACATCCAACAAGTTTTCACGTATTCCATATTCATATATATGATAAAATCATAGTTTTAAGGTATGCTATATTTATGGGTTAAAGTGCTCAATATCAGGGACAGAGTGTGTGTTAATATGAAAGTGGACACTGAGGTCAACACCCAACAGTGACAATGTCTCATTCTTAAAAGCAAATGGCCTGAAGATTGTGTTTAAGCATGAAATAGACTGTTACTACTGGGTGTTGACCTGAATGTGTGTGTGTGTGTGTGTGTATGTATGTATATATATATAAGATGGGGGCAATCCCAGCACCTTTGGAAAGTGCCTGAAAACTATACCACAGGTTGACCTAAGCCTTGTAAGGAAAAATGGGTAGACAAAACACTTGGGGGCCATCAATAGTTGTGCTAGCATGAAGTCACAAGTCATCATGACTGAGGGTTTGATTGTTGTTCTTGCTAGATAACACTCTCTCTCCCAGAAACTGTAACTAAGGTCTGTGCAGCATAGTTGCAGTATAAACCACAGGTTGGCTCTGGGTGTTGAACAAACGCAAACGTGCCTGAGCGAGCGTCTGCAATAGGGATTAGCTAGCCAGCCTAGTAGACTCGTATCCTCAAATACAAGTGGCCAGCTATTTTTTAATGGTAGACTTAGCTATGTAAGATAGATTCTGGAGAGAAAAATTGTCTAGCACAACACAGTGAACCAACTTTCTTAGCAGCTGACCTAGCAATGGATTCAAAATATATATATATACACATGAGCTGAAATGACCAATCAAAATACAAGTATAGTGTTACCCCTTATGAGGGGTGGTTAATTAATTTGAACCTTTTAAAACCTTTATTCTACAATCTACATTCAGCATCATCACTTGATAAGACACCAGAGGTGTTGAAACAAAATGGCTATTTTTGTAGTGATTTTATAACATATTTATGTTATAATTTTTAAATAAATAATTATATTCGCTCTACTCTATATTGAGCACTCTTTTAAGACTAGTAATTGCTGGTTATTGAATTTATTCCATATACACCAATCATATGCTTGGGTATATATATATATATATAAGTAGGTTATTGAGCTTTGCTTTATCATCATGGTTTTCTGTGATCAAATTGCTACTGGCATGCTTGAGCTATTTATGATAGGGGCTAGTACCTTATATTCAAATTTCATGTGTTGTGTTAATATTTCAACTAGAGAATGCTTATAGCCCAACATGTGAAGTACAGGAGTTATTTATTGATATCTTAGTAAAATAGGACTAAAAAGAAAATAATAAAAAGCCTATTTTTTTTTCTTTAACTTTTAAATTAAAGACTTACTTTCACAAAGTAAGAAATCTTATCAATAAGTACTTGACAGAATGCAGAGTGCTTAATAAACACATTATAAATCTTTCTTTTTTTAAACATCTAACATCAGAATAGGACACTTATGAAGGAAGTATTGCAATGTTCATTATTTAATAAGTGTTTCTTGAGAGCTTCTTTTAATATAAACAATATTATCTGCTGATATTTACCAAGTAGTTGTCTCCATGCTTGGTTTTCAACATGTTGGCAACTTCCTTAAGAGTGTAGCAATAAAGATCATCATGACCCTCAGCTGGAAAGGATATTGCTGAAAATAAAAATAATGAAAATATTAAATGTATACAAAGATTAAAATCAACAATGTCAATAATAAGATAAAATAACTTATCAAAATCAATTATTAAATTGTAAGGGAGATAAATCAGTTTTATCGACTTAAGAATTATGGAACGGTTTTGTTTAATTTGCAACTTAAGACAAAAAAAAACCCATAATCAATAATTTAAAATTTACTCTAAATCTAAACTTTTTCCAACCCTGTTTCCTTCTTTTTCTTACATATCACAATTAAAATATATGAACATTAGAAATCACCTTTAAATATATCCAACTATTTTATTTTTTTTAATCATATCCCTTCAGAATGAAGGCTCTCTATAGATTAGCTTTTCTTTATTATCTGTAAATTGCCGTGACTTTTAGAGAAAGATAATGGTTTTCTGCTGGCTTCTCCACAACCTGGAATTCAGAGTTTTAATTCTCTGAGACTAGTTGCCGCCAAAGGAGATCCAACTATTACATTTATTTAAAGGTTTGTTATGTTTAACAATTATCAAGCAACTAAAATCTCTTTCAAAAGTAAATAGACAATGGAAAAAAATGAGGACTTCAACTACAGATACTAGATACTGAAAAGGAGGCTGTGCAAGTATTAACGGGTTTAGTGCGGAAAACACTATGATCACAATTTCAATCTGATGATAAAAGGTTGTCAGGACTGTATCTCATTTAGGGTTACCAACTATCTTTTATTGAAAAACACTTTTTATTTAGCTCTTTCTCTCCCTATCCTTTCTTGAACCTGAAAGGTTAGAATGTCATTTATATTGCATATCTATATCAATTACATTAAAAATTACTATTTATATATTTTTTCTTTATATCCTTTATTATAATTTGACAGCTGGTAACCATAATATAACTAAATACAATCATAAAATTTGCCTCAAAGTACAAATATAGAGCAAAAATATAAGATATAAAAAGATAATAAACTTTATTTGCTCACACAAAAGTATTCCGCTACTGTCAGTTTCATGTGTGAACCAAAATCATCAGATGATAGCACTACCGTTTGATGATCATGGTTCACACATGAACTGACTGACAGTAGCAGAATACTTTTGTGAAAGCAGGTACATTTTATATCTCACTTTAAACATTATTTTTAGTGGATATTTGTATTTAAGTAGATGCTTCATTTATTTAGTAAACAGTATATTTATATTCAGAGGATGCTGAAAAAAAGAAAGAAACAAACAAACAAACAAACAAACGAAAAGAAAGAAAGAAAGAAAGAAAGATGCTGATTTGAATTCTGCTAGAGAGTGCACGTCTTTCTTTAATAATTTTTCTCAAATATTCAGGCCAAAAGACAAAAATAAATATACTGTTTATTAAATAAATGAAACATCTACTAATATTTGAGTATGCAGTGAATTGGACCAGAGAACAGTAGTATTAAAAAGTCATGAAAAAAAATAAAAAATAACATGTAGAGCTTTTAACAACAGATTTCCTAATTTAAAATTTTTTTTAAGAGAGATATATATATATATATATATATATTTCTGATTTCTTTTTGAATTTGTAGGTCTGATGAATTGGTTCGTATTTACGATTCCAATGTAATAAATTATGACCATGGAGAACTAGTGTTTAAGCCTTTTTATTATATCCTTACTCTGTCCTGGGCATTGAGTTCTACATGGATTCTATCCTCTTTGAATTTCTTTTACACACACACATATATATATATATATGTATGTATATGTATGTATATATGCATGTATATATATATTAACCACTAATATTATATATATATATATATATATATATATATATATATATATATAATAATGGACTCTCCCGTCGGTTTCATGTATGAGGATCCCACAGCTTATTGATTCAGTTATATATATATATATATATATATATATATATATATATATATATATATATATATATATATATATATATATATATATATATAGGACTCTCGTTGCAGATGACAAATGAGAGCTTTGTAAAATAACTTTTATGGACACGTGTGGTCTCTCAATGCTTGCAGGTGTTTTGTAAACTTTTAGACAGATGAAACATGTGATTGAGCCATTTTGCTTGAGTGGTCGAGAATCAATTGCCACATGTTTCTGCATATATAATGGATGACCGCTTGTATCTGAGTATGCCCGTCTACTAGAGCAGCTAGCCAGTCCAATGCAGAAGCCTGCCCAGGTACAGTTGCATTTGTTCAACACCCAAATATCCTACCTGTGATTTATACTCTAACTATGCTAAGCAGACCTTAGTTACAGTTTCTGGGAGAGCGCGCATTATCTAGCATAATCAACAGTTTGAATAAGACCAGTACACTCAAATCCTCAGTCACAATATCTTGTGACTTCATGCTAGCATAACTATTGTTGAACAATATCATTGACCAATTTCATTCAAAAGGCTTCAGCCAACCTTTGGTATGGTTTTCAGAAACTTTACAAAGGTGCCACATTCTGGGATTATCTCCCCTGGCCAATAACATCAAGTAACTTTCCTAAGTGACTATGATGAGATTTGAACCCAAATAGTCAAAAAGCAAATATTCTAACCACTCATCCACATGCCCTTACATGATTGCTAAGCTATTTCTTTTTAACAGTTCATACATCTGTGACCAATGAATGTTAAACAAAATTCATATGTATGCATATACTTGAAAATTTCTTTAGTAATAATTTTGAAATTACAAAGCTATTTGTCATAAAAACATTTTTCTTGTGTATTTCAACTTAATATATGCCACTTTACATTCTAAAATCAACAAGTTCAGCTGAAACCACTTGTTAATTATAAATCTAGAATTACCAACCATATAGCAACTTTGATGTAATGACCAGATCAGAAAATGATGACTCAAAGAGATATTAAAAAGGGCAGATGTGAAAACAATAATAAGTTTCAAATTTAATAGCTCACTTACCAATAATCCTTTCCATGACATACGTGAGGTCAAGCACCAACTGGTTTTCCCCAGCAGGCTCTTGATTTCTGCAAGATAAAAAAAACAAAAAATGGTTTTCACAATCAACAAGGAAATATAACTGCAAGACAAAAATTAACTTCAAACGCAAGTTTGGTAATGTCAGTATCAATTTTTACAACAAATTTGTAAATCATCATTTGCTGTTATATAGCAGACTATTCTCATAAGGGTTTGGTCTTAAGTTCTGCATTACATCGGTCTTGATCAAATTAAGCTGAGTTAATATCTCTGATCATTTCAGATAGACAAGATTTTCTTTTTCTTAAAGGCGTTAACTGAAATGAATATATCTTTTCATATTCACATTTGTAAAAACTGGTTTGATTTCTAAATAGAAAGAATATTCAAAACAGTGGAAGAAATGTTTCTTGTGAGTGAAACTGAAATTACATTAAATTCTTTTCTTTTTATTATTATCTTTAATCTTTATAAAATCTAGAAGGAATTTTTGGCACAAATAAAGTTTTTCAATTTCATAACAAAATTAAACTGTGGCCATGTTTAACCATCGTACTTGTAAAAAAAAAAAAAAAAATGGTCTATCAAGAGAATAGTTATTCCATTGATATTACTGTATACATTTTTCACTCACTCAGCAATGTTTATTTACAACATTATAAAAATGTGCGAACCAAGTACAATGCAATATTTAGTAGTAACCTTTTATAAAGATTTATTTACCATTTTATGAAGAATAAAATTTAAAAAGAAATATTTTCATTCAAAAATTCATTAAAAAAATTCCAAATTTATCAAAATATGAATAAAGAAAACTCATAAATCCATTTTCATGTTTGGGTTTTATTAAAATTCTAATCATTGTTTTTTTAAAAACAAACATTGACAAGGGAGTGAAAAGCATATACAGTAATAGTGGTGCCAAGGGAATAACCATCCAAATGAAACACCATTTTTTGCAAGCACAAAGGTTAAACACTGCTGAAACTACAAGTTGAAATGATTTTTCTGTTTTTAGATAAAACTTATTAATGACTCTGAAAGAGAATAATGGAAGAAAATATTCTTAAATGTGAAATTATCACCAAACAGAAACAGTTTTAAAAATCCTTCAAACTCTATAAATATTGTTTGATTACTCAAGTTCACTGAACAAATAATCGACTGTATCCAATATACACCAAATAATTTAACTCTATAAAAGATATTAAGTTAAAATAATGCTTCCATATTTTTTATGATGATTAAATAGAATGTAATTTATGAAAAATAAATTAGAATAAATTAGAATTTTCAATACAGCTATTCATAAAACCAAGAGAAGGAAGAGCCAATTATTTAAAGTGTTTTTGTAAAGGGTGGCAGATCTTATATACTTTAAAATAACAAAAAGCCTTATGCAAGAAAAAAGTCAATCAGGTACTTGTAAAGACAGTATATAAAATATATTAATTACATACAGAGAAACAACAGAAAAAAATGATTACTTTTACAATTGTGACCGGTTTATAAAGCTGTTAAAATAATGACAGAATATTTAAATAATCTTGCAATTGCATTGTACTTATAAAATGTCAAAAACTTTGTTACTCTGAATTTTTTGTTTATGTTCAACATTTCATGACTATAAATATAGAAAACTATTCAATATTTTAGGACTATATAGAGAACTCAACATTTCATGACCATATATAACTATATACAACTATTCAACATTTCATGACTATATATAAAATTAATATAAACAATCAAATAACATTCTATTTAACACTGAATAGTTTTATTTATTAAATTTAACATTAAATTTTATTTCTATGACATCATCAGACGAGTTAATTATATAGAGAAGAAACACTTCTGGTGATATTTATAAAAAAATAATCTCTCACATATGTACCAATTATACCAACAGTTGTAAAAAAAAAAAAATGAAATAATAAAAGGAACTGCTCAATGTTTGAAAAAAAAAACAAAAAAAACAGCAATCTAAGATGCATGTGACTATACAATGCATTTTATATGGATTATTATTTACAAAACAGTAACAAACAATATTTTCCTTTTCCTAGATATCATGTTACACCAAAATGAAAATAAAAATGATCTTGTAAATTTCTATTTTCACCAGAATAACAAAATAAAATTCAAAATAACCACCAAATTCTATTTAAAAACAATTAGTATTTGTAGCCCTCAATATTTATATGAAGAGGAGAAATACATTGTAAATGTTTTTAAGCTTCTTCAATACCCTAATTATTTCATATTCAAACTGAAACAAAAGACTATTTAAAAATAGAAGAGTGGGCCATTCTGACAAACCCAATGAATCAAAATATATTGTTCTACACACAAACTCTATCACAACTACAAATGAGAGAATTTAAGCTTAACAAAATTTGTTACAACCACTTTTAAAACAATAAAAGAATGCAAAACAAAATAAGCTAAAACTTGAAGGCGGTATTTACACTATCAACTGTAATAATTGCCACAAGGAATATATAGGAGAAACCTCAAGTAAAAGATTAAATAAACACAAAAGTAATCTTTTGCAAAACAACACAATCAATGCATTAGTTACTCACCATAATGAATCTGACCATAATTTTGATTTAAAAAATGCTACTTTAATTAAAAGAAGAAGCAAATTACTAAGATGAAAATGTATAGAAAGTGCTTTAATCACTAGTTCATCCATAGTAAATTTAAGTCCAGGTTCTTACAACATTTCACCTTTCTTGGCAGATTTTCTATTATCACAATGTGGGACATTTTAATAATAAAAATGATAAAAACAAACAAAAAGATAAAGAAATTAAATGAAATCAGCTAGACAAAATATCCAAACACACATTTAAAAAAAAATTTAATTGAAATTTAAAATTTCAGCATCTCAACTCTTTCATGTGTATGTGTAATCATATCAACATAAATATCACTTTAATTTGATGAAGTCCAAAAGAACTTTTATCCATTTTATCATAGCTTTTTCTAAAATTATAATTTATATAACTAACAAAAAAAAAAGTTTATGAGTAAATCAACAGAACAAAACAATTCTGATTGAAGATCTACTTTGAAAAGATGACTTTATTTTTCTATGAGGATATTTAAGCTGGTAAAGTCAGATTACAATTAAGTAAGATTTTAAGTTGCATATATATTGATAAAAATACTTAATGAAACAGATGATGATGATATAACAGCAACGACCAACAATAAAATGTTCTAATAATTTTTTCAAAATAACTTAAAATGGGTTCAAATATTTTCCAACTTCAGACTCTGGAAAACCATAAAAATTGTTTGAACGTTTAAAATTCTGTATTATATTTAAAATAAGAAAGAGACAGAGAAATTTATGGGACATGAAATGAGGAAAGGGGTCTTGGAGAATTTGATGCTCACAGGACATAATAAAAGCAAGAGACAGAAGGAAACAGAAAGTCACCTATTTAACAAACTCATGTAATTTGATTGAAAAATGGAATGGGGAGGATGGTAATAAAAAAAAAAAATTTTTTTAAGAACTACAAATGATAGGAAGTTGTGGAGAGCCATGATCGTCCATTTCCTGAAGGAGCACTGCTCGGAAGTTTACATTGTATTAAAATGTATTAAATATATATACCATTTATAAGTTTACATGCGATGTCTGATGTAATGATACATTTTTTATTCAAGTGTAAAAGCGGAAAAAAAACAATTCATCCTTATAAGAATAAGGAAAAAGATTTATTATAAACATTTACATCAAATGAGAAAGCCAATCAACCACTTTAAAAGAAAAAACAAAAAACATACAAGTTCATTAAAAATAAATTTCAATATTTAAAATTAATTTTAATTAAATATTTACATAAAAACGGTTAAGACATGCATTATATATCAGTCAGTTACTTATGTGCCATGCATGATACATGCTTAGGTGATCATGTATCTTTTGATACATGACTGACAAGGCAGATTTTTTTTTTGCAGTAGGTTGCTATTTATTTCTGCCATAAACCAGTTGCCATCCAAGGCTATAGAACCCGGTCTGTCCTGCTATTTACCCATAGCTGGGGGGAGAAGAAGAGAATTCATACCTTTACCAAGGGTATTAGCACGTAAGTGAATGTAATGGATTCGACTGGAATTTAAATTCAGCTCTGTGATTCATCAATTTGAGCCACTATCCATTATTCCACCATACCTCCCCATTAAATATTTCTATGCCATTTATAAGATTATAAGCTATGTCTGATGCAATGTAGCAGTTTTGTTCTTTGGGTGAATAATGAAGAAAAGTAGAAAAAAAATTAATTCATCCTTATGGTATGAGAAGTTGGGGGAAAAGATTTATTATAAAAACTTTAGATATTAAATCAAATGAGAAAGCCACTTAAATGCATTAAAAGAAAAAAAAGAAAAAACAATTTCATAAAAAATAAATTTCAAGATTTAAAATTTATTTTAATTAAATATTTATATAAAATTATTATAAACTACTTACTACTGTGAATAAATATGGATATTACTGGTTTCTTACAAAGTTAATTTATTCACTATCATGGAACTTAATGCTTCAGTAACCTTTCAGATCTATGGGAGGAAGCAGAGCACTTTGTTCACACATAATATCATGGTATCTGAATGATGTCAATATACAGAAAATGGTAATTTGTTTTGAATGGTGCTAAACCAAAAGAATATACAGTATTATAAGTTAAATGTCCAAATCTGTTTGCAGTAAGTAATAAAAGTTAGGTAAGTTGGTTTACTGTGTTGAGCTAGACAATTATTTTTGTCAAAATATATCCTACATATTTATAAGCCTAACATTTGTCCTTGCTTTGAATATTGCTGCTACATCTGGTCTGGTGCTCCTGCTATATATTTAGAGATTCTTGATAAAATAAAAAGAAGAATCTGCAATGTTACTAGCCCTGACCTGGCATTTCAGCTTCACTCACTTTCCTACTACCATAATGTAGCTTTTCTATAAATACTTTCACGGTAATTGTTCAACAATTTATATTTATTTCTTATTTATAGAGTTTGA